TTTAATATTTATGATCAGGGATTTTATATGCAGTATTCCTTGGGTCAGGCCCCTTTCTTCCCAAGGTGTTCAGCTGAACAGGTGGAGCTGGCCTTGAGATCCCCGGGCTTTGCCCAAGGCCACGTCAATGTCCTCGCACGGGAGCGTTGCATTTGGCAGTTAAGATTTTTCCATGACTTCCCACCAACAGCCTTTACTCATTTCCAGAGTAAACATTGCATTATGCAATCTGCTGTGCCTGCTGGAGAAGGAAATTGGATATTGTTTTGTGTATTTTCAAGTCAGGTGTCATTTTTTTTTTAATTCATCCAGAGCTAATTTCACCTCCCCAAGTGCTGAATGGTACCTTGGCTGCTTCACTGGGAGAAGCAGGAATTCTGATGTTTCTTTTCAGGAAACATGAGTTTTCTTCTGATTAAATCAATTCTAAACCTCTGTGACTTTCTGAAATATTATTTACATATTTAAAGTAGGAAGCATTTCATCTTCAAATCATTCATCCGTTCTCTGGTGCATTCCAGACAAGGATATGTGTGTGCCATCACTAGGATGAGAGTTTTGGGGCACAATTAGCAGCCTGATTCTGAATGCTAAGTAATTATGTTGTTGTCCAGGTGGAAACCAATTCTGATGAACTCTAGGAAAGGAAAACAATGTTTTTAGTGAAGGACAGCAAGATTTATGTTATTGTGGCAGAACAGATTGGAAAATCTACAAATACCGAGTTTCTTCTGTTGAGTTTCTCCATCACAAGAGAGCAATTAACACTTCCCTTGGTATTTCCAACCAGAGCTGCCCCGTTCTGGGATGTCCAGTTCCCTCTGCAGCTCAGTGTGGAGTCCTTGGAGCAGCAGTGAGAAGAAATCATGAAAACATTACAAAATCATCCTTGGGAGTAGGAGTTGCAGTGATCCTGGCTGGGGGGGATAATTCACGTCCTGGATAGTGAAGTTTATAATCCTATCCAATGTAATTGAGCATGTTCTAGTTATCCATTACCTAATCTTTCGTTAATCCTAATAGGTTTTGGCCTCAATGTTTTCTCGTGGCAGTGAGTTCTCCAGATTAATTATGTTATATAAAAAGGCTTTTCCTTTCAATTCTACATTTGCAACTTTTAATTTAATTGAAGGTTTGCTGGCTCCTCTGTTACATGAGAAGGAATAAGGAGTCCCTGGCCAATTCCCTGGATTTATTCCATTCTATCCCCAGCATAGAAAGTTTGAAGCCTGGCAACAAAAAAGCACAGAAACTCCACAGGGTTGTTTTTTCATAATCAAATATTGGCTGTTCACAAAATTGAGTGTTTCTGACAGGTCTCTGCAGCATCCAGTTGGAATGACAGAACTGAGCTGCAAAGATTCTCTGTCCCCTGTAGCTGAGGTTCATCACAGTAACACCCACAGAGAGGAACAACTTTCTGGGGCTGCTGTGAACGTGTCAGAGGAAGAAATCTCAGTTCCATGACCCTGTCAGTCCAACATTCCTGCAGAGGGGCTGGGTCTGTGCCCTTAGAGGACCCTCAGAATTCCAGAGTTCTGGCAGAAGGAACCATCCTGGGTCTTTCCTCTTTAGGAATTTACAACTCCCATCCTTAGAGCAGCTGGGCTCGGACAGTCAAACACCCTGCAAGCACAAGGGTGGTGGTGAGCTCTGGGGAAGGGGGTCCAGGCTCATCAGGGCAGGGTTTGGACTGGAATCCTGTGAGAGATCCCAGGGCCAGGCTCATTCAGAGGAAAACCTGGAGATTCCACACTGACTTTTGAAAATCAGGTAACTTTGAGATGTTCTCAGCCCTCCAGCAAGGAGATTTGGCTTTAAAAGGAAATCCAAACACTCAGCAATGCTGAGCTAGTTCATTCCTGCTCTCAGTATTGCACATTCTCAAGTTGAAATTCAGTCATTAGTTGTTTAGAATTCTAACAAGTATATAGACCTGGTTTCATAAGCTTTGACTCATTCTGCTCATTTTCATCTGCACATGAAAGCAAAAGGCCTTGGGAGTTTGTAGGGATGATTTTGCCGTTAAAAAGCAGCAAATGTGGGTTTGGAATAAAGTTTGGGGATTTTGCTACTCACATTTAACTTCCACATTGCTGCAACCCCGCTGCAAACACAACAAAATGAATAAATACTCCAACTTCAGTGGCTTTTTTTGTCTCTTCAGAGTATGAAAGTATGAAATTAATGAAATTAAGATGTTGTTTATCCATATTGGTGCTCCAGCTTCTGCCAGTGAGCCAGCCAAGGCTTTCACTTCAATGTCCTCATCTGGGAAGGTTTTCTTGACTTTGAATTCACTTGAACAAATCTTGGTTTGCTTGGGTTTATTTTTGGCTTTCTAATGACAAATTATACCATTGTATGTCTCTGTAACAATACAGTCTGTGCTGGGACATGGGGGATGCTGCCAGGAAAGTCTCTGATTTTAAAATGGTCTCCAAGCCCCACATGCTGAGCCTTGGAGGGTTTATTTTTGTGGTGTCTTGTCCACAGAGGTTCCTGCAATGCCACTTCCCTGTGGGAATCGTGCTGTGCTGGGGGCAGTCACTTGGCCCTTTGTAATTCATGGAGCTTTCTTTGCTCTTGGGATGTTTTCAAATAGGAAATATTAAAATAAAAGGAATTGAATGTGTCAGGAGAGACAAAGGCTGCAAGTGCTAAAGAAACCCAATGAAGTTATTTGTGAGAACTCCTAATTTTCTGTATCCAGCAGTGCATCCACCCTGCTGTTCCTGCACGGAGCTGGATGGGAACAAAAGTCCCAGGTGTGGTGTTGCACATGAGGTGTTGAAAATAGTGACAATACCATTTCAGTAATTTAAATGTTCTATTTATTTGAAGTCAATAACTTGACATTTCCAAGTCTGTTCTGTTTGGGTTGGGTTTTTACTGTCTCGTTCCTCTCTTGGGAGGAAAAGTGACTGTTTTGTACTAAACTGTAAATTAATGTGCTTGTTTAAAATAAACTGCAAACGTTTGGGCAAAGTGGATGCGTTTTGGCTCTTTACCTGTGTTTGCAAATTGTTTTGAGATGAGCTTTATTGCCAGGACAGCTCATGAACATGTCCACCATAAACCAGATCCATCATCTTGTGGAGGTGTGTTTTTAAGCCCAGACTTCTCAGGAGCTGCTGAGGAATCTGAAGGAGGAAAGAGAAAATAAACCAGGAATAAAGAAACATTTGAGTGGGTTGCTTTTTATTAATGGTTGTTTTTTATAAATGGCAGAAGCTCCTAAACGGCCCCTGCCCTCTGTCCCGAGTGGGACACAGCCCGAGTGGGACACAGCCCCTGCTCTCTGTCCCGAGTGGGACACAGCCCCTGCCCTCTGTCCCGAGTGGGACACAGCCCCTGCCCTCTGTCCCGAGTGGGACACAGCCCCTGAGTGGGACACAACCCCTGCCCTCTGTCCCGAGTGGGACACAGCCCCTGCTCTCTGTCCTGGTGGGACACAGCCCCTGCTCTCTGTCCCGAGTGGGACACAGCCCCTGCTCTCTGTCCTGGTGGGACACAGCCCCTGCTCTCTGTCCCGAGTGGGACACAGCCCCTGCTCTCTGTCCCGAGTGGGACACAGCCCCTGCCCTCTGTCCTGGTGGGACACAGCCCCTGCCCTCTGTCCTGCCCGCCACAGCTGCCCCACCCCTGCCCCGTGCCCGGGGGAACCGGCACCACCACACCGGGTTTGCTCGAAGTTCTTCCTTAGAGGCTCAGACTAAAAATCCACTTAAAAACCGAGCTTGGAAGGGACCGTGTGGGTCATCAGCTGCCCCCAGAAGATGTTCCTGGCCCTGGGGACGTGCTGGTGGCACCCGGGCAGGACCTGGAGCCCAACTCCCGCCTGGCGTTCCTGGGTGCTTTATTTGGGGACCCCAATCCTGGTGCCCAAAGGGAATCCCCGCATTTCCCAGCCTCGCGGGGCTGAGCTGTCCCGCAGGCTGCAGCCTGTCCCCGGCCAGAGGAACCATCCCCGCCGGACCGGGAGAGGGGAGGGTGGGCTGGGCTGGGTGCCTCGGGTTCCGGGGCTCGCCGGGGCTCTACGGCCGCCCCCAGGAGCGGGCGAAAGTCCCGGTGCTGCCGTCGGCAGGAGCATATGTGAGTTTGGAGGCTCCCGCCCTTAAGCTGCTTTTATTAATTTGTAATCCCCTGCGAGCAGGAGGTAAAGGGATTCGGGGGATTAACGGGCTCACAGTAACAACCACAATTATCAGCTCCGGCTGCCTGCGGCAAGCGGGGCACACACGCACGGGGCTCTCCCCGGGCAAACAGGGCCCCCGCGGCCCTGGCAGCGCACCCAGAGCTCCGCACACGCGGGGACGCGATGTGCCGTGGGACAGAACACGAGCACAGGCTCCGGGCACGGCCAAACACCTCCCTGCGCTCCCGCACCGCCCCGGGGCCGCAAAAACCCCGCACAGCCCCGCGTGTCCCGCACACGCACACTCCGTCCGCGTCCGCCCCGTCTTCAATTAGCGCAATTAACCTCCTGCACCGCTGCACACCGCTGGCCGCGGGTCAGGCATGAATTCGTTAATTAATTAGCGGCGGGGAAAGAGACCCCCCTCCACAACCCCCTCCCATCCCGCTGCCCACGAGCGGATTCAGGGGAGCCCCGCACTGCGGGGACAAACGAAATCCGGGCTCGGGGGCTGCCGGTGGGCAGCCGGGCCCGGGCGGAGGCTCTCCCCGACGGCGGCTCCCCCGACCCCCTTCGTGCTGCCGCCGGGGGGTTCGCGGGGGTCCCGGGGCCGTTTTGCACCCGAGGGCGGCGGCTGCAGCCCGCGCCCACGCGTCGGGCGCGGCCACGCGTGGGACGGCGGGGACATCACTCCCTCGGCCGCTTTTGTGATGCTAAAGAGCCCCGGCGCTGTACCGGGGCCCAGCTGCGGCCCGGTGCCGCCCCCGGCCCGCCCCCCGCGCCCCCCGCTCCGCCCAGCCCCGCGCCGCTCCCTGCGCGCCCCTCCGCGCCGCTCCGCCACTCCTCCGCAGCCACCCGCGCACTTCGGACGGTGCCCACGGAGGCCGCGATGCTGCTGGAGCGGGTCCGCGCCGGTTCGGAGAAGGCAGCGGAGCTCTGCCCCTTCCCGCGGAGCCCAGGTGAGGGGGCGGCTGCTCTGGGAGCAGCGGGACCGGCCGTGCTCCGTCTGTGTCCCGAGGGCACCGTCGGGGCCGCGGTCGGGGCTGGGTGCGGGGATGGGTCCCGTCCCGCCCGCCCCTCGCTCTGTCTCGTTCTTTCCTGCCTCGTCCCCGATATCAGAGCCCCCCTCGCTGCCCCCCGTGCGCTGCTCCAGGTGTCCGTGGGTCCCGGGGAAAGCGGCGGCTGCCCCGCGCTCACCGGAGCTCTGCCCGGCCCGGCGGGACGGCGGCTCCTGTCCCGGGTCCCCCCGCTCAACGAGGACAGGGACAAAACGGGGACTTCCCGCTGCCCGACGGTTCCCCCCGACTGCGGGGACCACCCGCGCCCTCCTGCCCGCCTCCCACGCGGCTTTTTCCCCACTTTAGAACAACTCCGTTAATTCTTCTCTTAAATGTTCTTCCGTCCCGTTGAACGAACGGGGTCAGCCCTGGCGGGGCGGGGAGAACCGGGCTGAGCTCCCCCGCCGTGCCCGGGGCTTCAGGGCTCAACACGGGAACCCGAGCCGGGTTTGGGGCAGCGGGTCCGGTCCCGGAGCGGGGCCGTCCCGGTTCTCACCGACATCGAAAGCTTTCGATGCGGCTTAAAAAAAAAATCAACGACGAGGCGGGACGGGGTCCCTCCCGGTGTGCGGGAGCAGAGGTGTCGCCGTGAGCGGGACGGACCGCACGGCCCCGCAGCCGCCGTGAACGGGCCGGTGCCCCGGTCCAGCCCCGGTTCGCCTTTCCGTGGCTGTCCCACCGCTCTCCGCCGTGCGCACATCGCGGCCGCGGCAGCTGCGCGTTTGACCCGGAGACCGGGAGCTGCTTGTGCTCCGGTAGAACGAAGGACGAGCAAATTCGTTTTTCCCGCAGGACGCGACGCTCGGCCACGGCCCCGCGGTCCTGGGCTCCGCCGGGGGAGAAGGGCCCGGCGAGGCTCGGCGGGGCTTACCGTGGCCGAGGGCCGGTCCCGGGGGGTTCTCGCCGCCGGGGGGCCGAACCGTGGGGTGCTTTGCCCGGGCCGGGGACAAATCCCGGGGTTTGCAGCTCACATCGAGCTCGGGGCAGCGGCCGGCGCTGCCTCTCCCGGCGGGACCCCGTCGGGGCTCGTTTCCCCGGAGCCGCGTCCCTCCCGCCGGGCGCAGCCGGGAAGGGGCGGCGGGAGGGGATGTGCCGCCGGCCCCGGGGGCGGGGGGGATTAAATACAGCTCGCCGCCGTGCCCTGCCCGGAGCTTCAGACCGGCACCGGCGGCGAGGGCCGGCGTCTAAAAATAACCCGCTTTAGCGAATTAAATCCCCGGCGCCGCGGGGGTGGCAGCGCCGGGAGCGGGGGACAGCAGCCGCTGGTTTGGGGGGGTCCGGCGGGAGGAGAGCGGCGGTTCCGTGCCCGGCCCGGCGGGAGATGCTCCGGAGCCCGCGGCCCGCCTGAGGGAGCGGGGCTGCCGCGGCCGCGGATCGCCATGCAGCGTAAGAGCCGCGGACCGGGCTGCACCGGGACCCTGCCGGGCTGTGCCGTGCTACCGTGCCCGCTGCCGGTGCCGGAGCTCCGTCCTGGCCGGGGCCGCTGCCTTTAGCGCTGCCGCTGTTGGGGATGTTTGTTTGGACGCGGTGAATTGTTAAGGATAACGATTATCACCTCCACCTCTTACCCCCGTGCACGGCGATCCAGCTCCTATAGCTACATAGAATTATCTTTACATAGAAATGCTCTCATGTCCGTACCCATCTGTTTCTGTACAGCCGTGTCATACATCTCTCCGCCTCTATCTATACCGATACATCTGTATTTATGTACCTCATATCCATATTTTCACCTGCTTATCTCTATCTATACCTATATACTGAAATCTATATATTTATGTTCATATATATCTGTACATTTATCTGCTGTATCTGTTTAGTTTTATATCTCTATTTCTCCGTAACTGTATCTTTATCCCCTTCTGTATAATCTCCGTTGGTATCTAGAGGGGGACGGGACAAGATTGCCGTGTTTTCATTTTCAGTGCAATTCTCATATTTTTTGGTAGTTTCTTTCCCCACCCCGTTCGGGCTACCCCACCGTTGTTCGCAGGTGAATTTTGGAAGTTTAGGAAAAGGAGAAAGAGCCTGGGATAATTATAGCTTTGCCAGCGGCTCGCTCGGGGACTTAACTCCGTTCCCATCACTTCCCTTCTTGTTTATCCCGGTTCTCCCGGGCACTTCTCCCAGAGTGTGCTCGGCCCGGGCGTTCGCTGCTCCCCGCGACAACGAATTTGAACGAATAATGCTTTTTTCCGTGCTGTTCCTCGGGTCACCCCCGGGTCCGCCGTTGGTCACCTGCAGCCCCGGGGCGGCGGGGCGGGCCGGGCCGCTCGGGGAGGCGGAGGGGCCACCGGGGCTGACCGGGGCTGCCTCCCCGCAGAGATCCCGCTGTGCGCCGGCTGCAACCAGCACATCGTGGACAGGTTCATCCTCAAAGTCCTGGACCGGCACTGGCACAGCAAGTGCCTGAAATGCTCCGACTGCCAGACGCAGCTGGCCGAGAAGTGCTTCAGCCGCGGGGACGGCGTCTACTGCAAGGAAGACTTCTTCAAGTGCGTGGGGACGGCCCGGGAAGGGACGGGGGGCGGCCGGCCACGGGTGGGTGTCCCAGCGCGGGCGCGGTCGGGGTTCAGCACCGGGACAGCGGCACCGGGCGCAGCACCGCGGACAGCGCCGGGCCCGGCGGGGACCGTGCCCGGCCCGCCCCGGCTCAGCGGCCGCCGCTTGTCCCCCACGCTCAGGCGCTTCGGGACGAAGTGTGCCGCCTGCCAGCAGGGCATCCCCCCGACCCAGGTGGTGCGCCGGGCACAGGACTTCGTTTACCACCTGCACTGCTTCGCCTGCATCGTCTGCAAGCGGCAGCTGGCCACCGGCGACGAGTTCTACCTCATGGAGGACAGCAGGCTGGTCTGCAAGGCGGACTACGAGACGGCCAAGCAGAGAGGTACCCCTTGCCCTGTCCCTTCCACCCCCGAGGGCAGCAGGGAGGCGGCCCGGGGCTGTCCTGCCCTCCGGGACAGGCTCACACACCGGGCGGGAGGGCGGAGGGAGGGACCGGGGAGGGTCGGGGGTCCCGCGTCCCCCGTGGTACCTTCACCCCTAACTCGCCCCGCGTCGGCAGAGGCCGAGTCTACAGCCAAGAGGCCCCGCACCACCATCACGGCCAAGCAGCTGGAGACCCTCAAAAACGCTTATAACAACTCGCCCAAACCCGCGCGGCACGTCCGGGAGCAGCTCTCGTCGGAGACGGGGCTGGACATGCGGGTGGTGCAGGTGAGGCGGGGGCCGGGCGGGCCGGGCCGGGCCGGGCCGGGCCGGGCCGGGAGCGGCCCCGCAGGCACTGAGCTCCCCGGCGTGCCCCGCTCGCAGGTCTGGTTCCAGAACCGCAGGGCCAAGGAGAAAAGGCTGAAAAAAGACGCGGGGAGGCAGCGGTGGGGGCAGTACTTCAGGAATATGAAGCGATCCCGGGGGACATCCAAGTCGGACAAGGACAGCATCCAGGAGGAGGGGCCCGACAGCGACGCCGAGGTTTCCTTCACAGGTGGGTCCCGCAGCCCCAGCGCGGGATGTGTCCTCCCCAAAGCTGCTGTTCACCCGGCTGTTTCACCCCCTCGGGGCCGCGGTGGGAATTTGCGGCAATAAAACAGAGCGGCCGAGGCGGGAGAGCCGCGGGATTCACCGCGGAGTGGGAGCGGAGCCGCGGCAGCGCCGGGCCCGAGGAGCAGCGAGAGCTCCCGGGCAGCGCTGCACCGCCAGAGCCGCTGCCCAAACACGGCCTTTCCAAGGCATTCTTGGAAATACAAAAAAAAACGGGAAGCCCAGAACTACGGAATGTTTTTCTAGGAAAACGAGCGTGATTTTTTTTTATTTTTTTTAGTCGTATTTAGGGATGGTTTTGATGCGTGTTAGGCGGCTTCTGCAGCAGAGCATCCCCTTTTTGGGGCCGAGGTTTCTGGTGACAAACCCAAGACAGACCAACAGCAGCTCACCCCACACTCTCCAGACCCGCAGGGACAGGGTTATATTTGCAGAAACACATTCTACACAATCCCAACTCCAGCCCAGTGCTCCATTCCAAATTTCTGTATCATTTTCAGGAATGGGAGAGAAACTGAAATGCTGTATATATTTACACAGACTGTGTATTTCTATAACACACACTTTTTCATCTCAGCTCCTCTCCTGTGCTCCTAAAAACAATTTGATTTTCGAGTCTGTTTATACACACTGTGTATCAGCTCATTAAATATGAATAGTCTATAAATAATAACTAAAAAATGTCGAACAATTATTGAGAGCTCAATGCCACAAACAGGTTTGTATCCCCGGCAACAGAGCAGCTCTCACTGTCCATAAAGCCTCTAACGAATACAAACAATTTTTGCTGGGAACTTAAAAAATATTGCTCATTTTTCAGGAGTGTTTTTAAGCCATACAAATACATTCTGTGTTTCTGTGATTTCATTAGCCTGTTCCTGAGCAGACAAATATCTTAATTTAATATCTCTTTTCCTGAGTAATTGGGAATTTATATTGCATTGGTTCAGGTAGCTCCTAAAAGTGATATCAAAATTCAAGATAAACATCAAAACCAAATAGAAACAAAAAGTGAAAAGACATCAAATTCACTTCGCCTATAAAGAATTATTTTAAAATCACAGTCTTATATTTTAATACGTACTTTTTATGCATATTCTTAAAATCCAAGATGTATTAGATGTTTGTATTCAGAAAAAAAAAAAATCTCGTGGCTGCCTATGAAGATTTATTGACAAGGATGGGAATAATAAGGAATTACAAGTGGAAGAGCACGACTGCTCAGCTCCCATCTTTTTAATCTATTTATACCCGGAGTTTGCAGGAGTTCCTGTGCGACTGGTGCTCTTCCATTGCTCCACCAGTAAAACCAGTGCTTTTCCCTTCCAGACGAGCCCTCCATGTCCGAAATGAGCCATTCCAACGGGATTTACAGCAACCTCAGCGAGGCCTCCCCGGCGCTGGGGCGGCAGGCCGGCCCCAACGGGAGCTTTGCCCTGGAGCACGGCGGGATCCCGCCTCAGGACCAGTACCACGAGCTGCGCTCCAACAGCCCCTACGGCATCCCCCCGTCCCCGGCGTCCCTGCAGCCCCTGCCGGGCCACCAGCCCTTAATCTCCAGCTTGGTGTACCCAGACAACGGCTTGGCCATCATGGGACAGAGCGCACCCGGCGTGCCCCAGCCCATGAGGGTCCTGGCTGGCAATGGACCGAGCTCCGACCTCTCCACCGGCAGCAGCGGCGGGTACCCCGATTTCCCGGCCAGCCCGGCCTCCTGGCTGGATGAGGTCGACCACGCTCAGTTTTGATACTGGGGCCACCCCCAGGCAGTGGGAAGGGAAGGACTCGGTGCTGTTAAATGTCACCTGCTCTTGGAAAGGACAAAGGGATGAGCCCTCAGTGCTGAGCGGGGCAGGAACGCGATGAGGAGGGAGCAAAGGGGATTTCGGAGATGACCCTGGCATGAAGATGATGGACAAAGGCCCTGGCACTGCAACCATTGGCACCCGGAGCGTCCCAACCAAACTGATTCTTGTGTCTTTACCAAACACCGAGACTTGTGCTTTACAGATTTGATATGAGGTATTTTGCATTTTGTTGTCAGTGCATTCTCCAAAGCAAGGACTTGCTCCGTCACCCATCCACACCGATACATTTTTAAGCGAAAATAAAATCCTCATCCACGGTGAAAGGTGTGACAATGTCTATATTTCTATAGGAGAAATGTTCATAGTGAATCACTTCAGAAATCCATGGTAGGAAACTTCTCTGTTCTTCCAACAGATTTTTTTAAAGCGCACCAATGCGGTATGTTTTGTTTTACTTTGAATTTACATTAACTTTTCTAAAGCGAAATGCTCTTAATATGCCAATCATTTATCAACATCCCTTTTTCTTTGTAAAATGAAAATCATATGTTAATTCTGCTTCTCCCCTCTTTAATTTGTAGATTGCTAGGTTGACTCTTCCATTTAAGCATTAAACCGTGAATAGATGTATTTATTACCAAGTAATTCCACGTTTATCACGAGGTCAAGAGGTGAATTTTCTTGACCCAGGGACACTGGTGGTGGAACTGGGTTGTGGGTCTTAAGCTTTTCCTTCAAATTTCTTTGCATCAGTTTTACTGCAAAGTGTCTCAAAAATCACCCTGATGTCTTGTTGCCAAAAATCTTCTCGGGGGGGTCGGGCTGGTTTAGGATGAGCCCTTCCCCAGGCACTGCTGGAGGGAGCACCCCCTTCCCTGGGGACACGTCTCTGTTCCAGGCATTTATTTGTGTATTTCCACGGATATCGTGCAAGCTGATTGTGAGGAAAGGCAAGACAATATGTATATTGTTATCTGTACAAATTATGGAATTAACTGTAGATTATGTGGATGTCCAGTGTCTTTTATTTATATTCTCGCTTTCTCTCTGATGATCAAATACTTCAAGATTACAAATAAATTTGTCAGCTAAACTTGACATAGTCTTTTGCTAAATTCACATCAATATCAGTAATTAAAAAACCTGAACTAAAAGCTCTTAAAACTTGATCAAACAAAGTGTTGAAATATTCCCTTTCAATAGAGGAGCAAACCCACTGATGTGGAAATGCTTTGGAGCAAAAAAAAAAAAGAGGACATGGGAGGCTGGCAGTCCTTGGGAGATCTGAACAGGACTGTTCTGGCTTTAATCATAATTTTGATGGGACATTGTTATTTTTCAGCATTTGTGACAAAGGAGGTGGCTGATACAGCAACAGGAAACAGAGTCTGATGTTATCTGTCTGCAGAAAGTTGTGAAACACAGATACGGAAATATTTCAGAATATTTTCAGAAAGAAAGGGAAAAAACTCCTAAGGGAGTCAGTTTGACCAAACATATACATATATATATGTATTTACACATGAATATATATCCAGATAAGCACACACATCCACGTGTCCGTGGTCACACTGGTGGGAATATTTGCCCCGAGGTTTTCCACGTGCCCATGAGAGATCCACTCCGAGAGCCATGGCAGGGACAGGAGAAACCCCAGGCAAAAATTTGTTTCCTTCACTTCTGAGCTCCTGAGTCCAGAGCTGGGCTCAGCAGCTTCTCCTTCCTTCTCCAGAAGTGAATAATAAAGAGACAACTGTTGCTGCCAGCCTGTAGTTACATCACAGGGACATTTCTTATGGAAATTTATGGAGTAAATAGAAAACTGTGGGATTTAAAACAAGCAGATCGCAGAACTTCACTGAAAGAGAAAGGAAGAGTTTATATTTTCAAGAATTCTGTGTCTAGAAATGCCCTCACCAAATCTGGGAAGGTGTTTTGCATCAAAATATTTTGGCAGTTCAAGTATTCTTAATATTTTCATATAAAAGACCAAAAAACTAACGTTGAAATACCTTATTTCTTAAAAATTAAGAAATAACAACAAAAAGACAGAAATGCAGTAGTTTTTAGGAAAATTCTGTTGTTATAAAAGCAGTCTAATAACTGTAGCAATTGAACCTGTGTTTTACAGATATTTTTCTCATCGGTTCCCTCCCAGTAAATAACGGGTGCTGTTGTTCCTCTGCCCCCGGGAATTCCCAGGGGATGGCTGAATTTAAGAAAGGAAGAAATGCAAATTTCCCGCTGCCTTTGTGCTTTGCTCGGAAGGGCAGAACGGGGCTGGAAGTTGGCGGCTCTGAACGGGGAAAAACTCCCCGAGTGTCCTGAGCTCAAATTCAGGGATTGCATTTCAGCCTGTCCTTTCAGGGCCGAGGCTCAAGGATTCCATTAATATAAATGCTTTCTTCCCATTAAAAAGAAAACCAATTTGAAAGAGGCAAATAAAACTAACACTGTCCAAGGGACTGACAGCTTGTAAAACCCAGGCAGAGTTAGGGAGAGGAGGTTTGCACTGCTCAATTTGCAGGTGGCTTTACAACCTCCACTGATTCCCATCAGTGCATGACATGGGAGGCAGGAAATTTTTTGTCTTCTCAATGAGGAAAATCTACTGTATCAATTTTTTTTTCTGCCTAAACAGCATTTTCACCTACAGAAATGTTTAGATTTTACGCCAAATAGTAGAAGCAGCTTATTTTGTTTTCTTATTTGGATTGCCTGTGTGAGGCCAATAAAATGAAATCCCTCATGCCCAGAGGACAGACACGCCTCTCCAGCCCAGTCTGATCCAGGGGAGGAGGTGACAAAAGGGGACCAAGAGCTTGGGCACAGAGCTTGGGGACTTTCATTGCCCCTTTTGGGGGTGTGGGCCAGGTGAACCCCTCATCCACAGGGAGCAGGGAAGGTGGGCACAGCCAGCTCATCCTCAGGTCCCTCTGGTGGCTTCTCCAGATGTATCAGAGCATCTGACCAGAGGTGTTCTCACCACCCTCATGTCCCACCTGGCCTCCCCCTGCCCAAATCACCATCCTTGGCAAGAAGGCAGGAAAACCTCCAGATCCTCCTCCTGCAGCACAGGCAGAGCTGTTGAGTAGCACGAGGGAGAGTCCCAGAGGTTTGGTCTCAGTAAATATTCCAGCAAAGATGCTGCCTGTCAACAGGAAACTTGTCTCACCAGCCGCCCACAGTTCAGGAAAAGCAAATTCCACACCATTTTTAGCTCCCTGGTTCTTCTTCCACTGAGGTCTGAAGAGTGTCCCCATCTCTCCAAGGAGGGCAGAGCCAGTGTCAGGCTGGACACAAGTCCTGCATCCCACTCCCACCCAGACCCTGGTCTCTGCAGAGCCTGGAAAAAGGCTCCGAGTCAGCTGGAGGCGAGTAAATCATTCCTGACAGCTACATCTCTACAGGGCAGTTAGAATTAATGTAACAATTTGGCGTTTAATGAAGCAACAACATGCTGGGCTGCAGAGAATAGCCGGGACCTGCTGCAGTCAGCTCATCATCCCTGAGGGACCCAAACGGCAGCGGCTCCATCAGATGCCGACTTGTCAGGCTGAGCAAAGGGCCGGGAGGGGACAGCGAGGGACAGCGGAGTGGCAGGGAGCTGAGCACGGCCCCAGGGACCCAGCCGAGCCTGGGGACAAACCAAACCCCCTGTGCCCCAGGGCTGGGCTCAGCTCTGGCAGCGGGAGCATCCCTGGGCATCGCCTGGCACTGCCCTCCCAACTCGGGGAGTGCTCGGCCTGAGCCGGCTCACAGAGATGCTGGAAAATGCTGTTTGCATAACAAAATATTCTGTGAAGCTTGTCTGAGAAGAGTAGAGAACTAATTAGCACCGGAGGGGGGAAGTGACAGAATAATACGTCTCCTAAATAAAAACCATTTTGATCAGGTGCTCTGCACCCTGAAGTTGATGGTATTCAGCCTTTTGCAGGATAGGGCCTTTTAATAACACTAAAACACTCCCTGCATGGAGGAGGGGGAGAGGGGAATGAATGCAAATGACTTTGGAGACAATCTCCCATTTCCCATGTATATACACACGCTCTCAAAGCACCGCAGGCTGCAGCAGCTTGGATGCTTTAAAATAAATCATGCAGCGCTTTTTTTTTTTTTTTTTTTGCTTGCTTGCTTTTAAATGAAAGCACAGCACAAAACAACATCCCCTCAGTCCCAACCCATCCGTGCTGGAGCTCCTCTCCGGGGCTGGCTGCTGTGTGTGTGGCCATAAACCTCCCCACGTTTTGTTGTGAAGCCTCACGGTCAGCAGCTTTAAGGGCTTGACAGGTTTATAAAGTGCTGAGTGTCCCCCAGGGACGGCGGCACTGTTTGCAGGGAAGATGAAGCGTGCCATACCCAGCTGGTCTAACAAGGCAGCGGGAAATCTAAATTAATTCAGGAATCACTTCTGTTCTACCCAGGAGGATGTTGTTCTCAATCTATGGAGCAGCCCATTGGAATAACCATTAACAGCAGGGATGGGGTGCAAGGCTGGGCTCCCCTCTCCTGTGCTGGGGTAAATCCAGGCAGGGAACAGAGGTGCAAAGCACAGGAGGGAAAGGAGTGCAGGGACAGGGCCTCCCTCCCACAGACACCCACACAGGGCTGGCAGGGTTTGGGGTGGGAGGCTGATTTCCACTTGAAACAGCTGATTTCCCCAAATCCTGGAAAAAGGGATGGGTCTCACCAAGGCCGCCCGACTCCGCAGGTGAGGCCAGAGGGAAATTATTTACTGGCTCCCCTTGGCCAGGGTCGTGTCCTTGCTGATTCCTAATTTCTCTCAACAATCACAGAGTCACTCTCTGACCATATAAGATCTGGGATTGAGTCTTCCCTCTGGATTGAAGGTCAGTTGTGCTGGTTGTGTTTGGGAGAGATGGTTGCAAAATCATGAGGTGTGGGATTGATTTAATCTCAGGACATTTGATGTTTGCACGGGATTTGTCCTGGCATTTGTGTGGATCATAAATAAAACAGATAAGGGGGACCCCTGATTATTTTCTGGAAAAAAAACCAAACCCAAAAAAACCCACAGCCCAGGTGGGACCTTGTGGGTTTGATAGAGCAAAGCAAGGCTGTGTGTGCTGGGCAGAGCCAGGGTGGCAGAAGGCAGCAGTGCTGAAGGGAAGCTGGTTTGAAGTGTGCTTTTTGGAGGGTGAAATGGAACATCCCGTGCTGTTCTCAGTGCCCTGTGTTGGTCAGTGTGCAGCCCCTTGGGCCCCTCTGCAGCAGCAGCTGCTCTGAGCAGCCCAAATCAGAGCCACAGGGAGCCCTCAGCAAACGAGGGAGGATTTGGGCAGCAGGGCTCTGTATTTGGGAATTGGGCTCCAGCTGTTGAGTGTATCACGTTGAATTGGCTTCATAGGATGTGAATCTTTTATGAGAGTGTTGAGAAGGAGCAGAGCCAGGTCCTGCCTGCTCCTTGCCACCAGCAGCACTTAGCACAGCCTTTTCATTTTCATTTCCCGAACATTCCCTCCTCACCGTGGCCTGTTTCTGACAGGAGGCTGCCATGAACTTCAAAATTAATTTTCCTGGACGATCCTAATCATTCTAGTTGAAACATCCCCTTGTTATGCCTTTATTGGGATCTGACTCTGGGGGTTAAGGGTGTTTTGATGAACGTGCTTGATGTGGCAAAATTAAAACTTATTCTGGTTTTAATTTGTACTAATCATACACTCAGAAATAAAGAATTGGTCCCCCAAGTGTTTTTCTGGACTGGAGGACCAGGCTCATTTATTTGCAGGGATTAATAAGCTGCTTGCTAATTGTGGGATGCTGATATTTGCCATGCCACAGCACCAGGGCAGCACAACCACCCTGAGCCAGCCTAGAGCCAGGCTGTAGCCCAGCTCCATTGAAATACAGATTTGTGCAGGTTTTTATCACTTCATTTGCCAACACAAAAATCATTATGTTCCGAAACAAATTCCCTTGTGTTAGTTGAAGCGTCTCGTTAACTTAGATGAACGCTAATTGAGACGCTTTGATCAGGTGGGATATTTCTGTCCCACTTCAACATGAGGGCTGTGTCCTGTGTGTGAGCTGAAGGGTTTGGACCAAGCACAGGGATGCAGCGAGTCCTGAGCCACCCCTCAGTGCCAGCGTTTGCAGGAGCTGTCACCAGCTCAGACATTTGCAGGCTGGCATGATGTGCAGCCACAGGATGAGCCCCTGAGCCCTGGCACCTGCCCTGGTCCCTTGCACGACCCTGGAGCCCAGGTGAGCCTGTGTCACCCCTTTGGGCACAGCTCTGCTGAAACACGAGCGCTCGGTGCCTCTGGGGCTTGGCACATCACTTGTCATGAATATTGGAAGGAGCCAAGCAGGGCTCGAGTTGCCATGGGGGAGCCTTGGTGCCCAGCGGGCTGCAGGGACAGGGATGGGATGCCAGGGCTGGAACGGGCAGCAGGAATGTCAGGGAAAGGCTGCTGGAATAGCAAGGAAAGCTGCTGGGGGCTGAGTCTGGCCACAGCACCCCTGGCTTGCTGTGTCTGTGGGGACAGGGCTCACTCAGGAGTCACCTCCTGCTGCCACCAGGCTGGATGTTTCACTTCCTAAAGCCCCACATGCTCAGCAGAGGATGGAGGAAGGGAAAACCAAATTCCCTTCATTTTTCTTAAGCCTATCCCGCCTCCTGCTGGGAATTAGTGCAGGGCTGGTGCCAAATTTTATCCTGCCCTGGGAACAGCTTGCTGAGGTCACAG